ATCCGCTGAAGGATAGTGAAGTAAAAAGAAATGGTTCCTTTCAGTTAGTATTACAAGTAGAAATGTCTATTAAAGCATAACTGACTCTACCATCCGAACACTAATTATTTTGTAGTTTTTCATTTGTTGACGTTTATGTAACCCTTAAAGCCATTAAGGGCCTTTATAATAAATTAGAATGCCTACCATAGGTGCAATAGTAAAATGTTCTTAAGCAAGCAGAAGAAAAGCGAGTTAAGGGTAAAGAGAACAAAAAAAAAAATAAAAAAATAGAAAGAAACAAACACCCAGAAAGGTAACTAGACTAGTATGAAATAACACATAGCACAACCACACGCCTTTCCAATACTAAGTAACTAGCTAATCTCATTTTTAACGGCAAAAGATAAAGGCCTACGTTTGTAAGTGAGAAAAGGGAGCATACATCGACATGGTGGCAACGCCGTAGGTAGAGAATCATAAGCTCTTATAAACCTTACCTGGAAGGATTTGGCCAAACAGCGCGAAACTCGAACGAGAAATCAACAGAAGGTTATTGCGGACTAACTTAACTGACCAAACAAGAAAAGTGGTTAAAAAGCTCCTTCCGCTTCTGCCGTAGGATAATGTTCGTAGAGTTTACGAAGCAGTCTAACTCTAATAAAATTAACGATAGAACAACCTAGACAACGTAGAACATAACTTGAGATACATTCATAACGCCTCAGGGAGAATACATATCTAACTTCAAGTTTGTCGTATTCGTGGAACTATAAATAAATAATTGTGGTATTCAAAAAAAATTTTTCTGTACTCTTGTTGGGATTCTTAAAACAAAAGTTTTTATAACAAAAATTTCCGAACAAAATGGCGAAGCAGCAGCTTTCCCAGAGAACCACATAATTGTTTTGTGCAGTACTATCTTGGACATAGTAGGAAAAGATCAACGGTCACGCTATTTTTCAAGACACTGTGCGGCGTGAAATGCAAATTTAATTTAATCGTGAGTTATCTCGTATCGCATTGGCAATCAACGTGCTAGTCTGCCTTCAAGTCTCTACCGGTTGCCTTCTCATAAAGTAAACTATGAGGCGACAAGGTCATCGAAAATCGAAAGTAAGGTCTATTAAAGTGATTCAAAGGAAAATGGAAAAGGAATTCTCCGTTTTTCACTGAAGAACATTACAATGCGGCTATAGCTGAAATTTCAAATCGTTCGTTTCAGAAATTAAAGAATGAGGAGAAACTGCCAGGTTAATGAACAATCTGGTCGCACGTAAAGAATTCGATCCCTAATAAAACCTTATGAATTTCATTCTTAATTCTTGAAAGGATGATCTCTTCACATCACGCAACTCTTTACGAAGTTTGCTGCATACAAATACACCTGACGTCAATTAATTAACCGAGATATGACACATAATTGGGATAATTCCATATATATATGTATTCATTTTAGTAGGCGGGCAGCTAAGATACAATCCTGTTTTCCTGCTTAATAGAGCTGATGTGCTCCTTGCTCTATGATCCTGCTACCGTTACTATACCATTCATCCATACAAATATTGTTGATTTGTTTGTTCTTTTATTTTAAAGTTTGTATTTTGTTCAGTTTTCTAAATAAACTTATATATATATATGTATATATATATATATTTTTACATATATATATATATTTTTAATGATCCATTATTTTATTATTACTTTTTATAATTACACTATAACTCCATTTCGGTGTATGTATGTTAATGTGTATATAAGTACGTGTCGTAATTTCATATATACATATATATTTCACTTAGAATTTATTATTTATCATTATTGTTATATTCGTTTATTGTTTTTTAACTCTTCATTGCACTTACACTATCTACTACATATATATATATATATATATATATATACACATATACATATACATGTACATATATATGTATGAAAACATTGTAAATAGTTAGTATAGAATACTACAGATTAGGTTCAAATGCATGTAGATGTACGCGAAAGTAGATGTGGGAGGTAAATTAATTCATTTATTTGTTTAAATGGTCGAAAAAAAAATTCTTTCAAATGTTTTATTGTTCGATCGCTCAATTGTTTATTTTGTATGCAAAATTTAATTATATGTTCGTTTTATGTTATTATATTTTTGGTTTGGATAAAATAATAATATCTCTCCGTCACACTTTCTATGCCGACCCATTTCGTTCCAATTCTATTGATTGTGATTTATAGTTTCCTTAATAATTATTTCATACTTCGTTATCTTGCGGATATAAGTAAGGTAAAGTAATCTACATTGATTTGAAGCAGCTGTGTAAAAAAACGAATTTCTTAGCCTTTAGCCTAAGTGTTTTATCAAAAATTTTTAGTTTTTTTTCATAATTTTTGAACGAAAATTTTTATTCGCGCCTTTCACGAATGCATGATGAATGTCGAATACCTTTTCGAAAATTCATCATACCCTACACCGCTTATGGTAAAAGGATACATTAAGCAAAGGAAGTCTTGAAACAGATCCAACTTTTATTATATCGATCAATTTAGAATCACTTTTTGAAGCAATTTAAGCCCATTCATCCATCTGTCCGTCTTGTTTGTGTTCAACCGCATTTGTGAGATATTTTGATGAAACTTCCAATACCGATGTTTTTTGACCCACGGAGAATGGCTATTAAAAATGGTTCTGATCGGAACACTTTTTCGACCACTTCCCATATAATGCCGTATTTTGAAAAGTCGTTATATGAATAACTGCAAAGTGATCTAGGATAGTTAATGATTAGCAGTGGCCCGCTAAAGTGTGGTTTTATGTGTTTATAAGTATTGTTAAGTAAGTATTTTATATGTATTTTAGTTGAAATATCAATGATCATAAAGTTTTGCACCAGAACAGCCTACACTTTCATTCCTTGCAAATTATTCCAGGCTGCGCCTTCCTGAACGTAACTTATTACCTTTTACATCAGGGCTAATTATTTGTAATCATGTCGTTTACATATTTAACAATATTTCAAACCGCTAGCCCAATTTCTCGATTGAAGACAAGCCTTTGAGCGGCTATTTACACTACCCCTAATATTTGTCATTCACATGAATTTTATGACGGAAGAAAACGTTTCTTAAAAATTAGCTATGCAAGCCTTGATCGGTAAACATTGTCACTGAATTGTCAGGATTTTACTCGACGTCCATTTTAGTACTTCACACTAAGCTGAATATAGGCTGAATATCTTATCCGCATATATTTAAAAAAAAATATTGCTAAGTCAAACTAATAAACGCTTTTGTATGCCATTAATATAATGTAATCGAAAATGTAACAATTTTCCTTTTTTGTACTCGAATAACTAACTAATGAATTTGTAAATCTCTCTCAGAGTCCACTTGACCAAATTAGCAACCTTGTATTTAGTTAGAAAATCATCAGAAAAAATTTATAAGATGAGATGGTCCTGTTTTTAAGAAATTTATACGAAAACTGCCGAGCACGGTACGAATCCACATATTAAATCCTAGGATTATCACATCAAAATTTGGTAACAGAATGTGCAGCGCCTAGTTTACGAAATTTATTGTTAATTAGTTGAAGTGCCATGCCGGCAAAGTAAGTCGATTAGATTGATTGCGTTGCAGGAAGCGTTAGTGGAAAAAAAATTGAGGAATAACATTTAGGAAATTCAGCCCCTGCTTTTAATAACCTCAAGATTAGCGTACGTGTAACGGAAAGACCAGCGCATAGTTTAGGAAATGTATTGTACTCCTAAAGGCTAATGATTGAGTTGCAGCAAAGGTTAAGAAAAATATACAATATGGAAGGACATTCACGGCGAACATAAATGACACCTTCGCTACGATCAATGGAGTAAGCCAAGGAAGGCATTAAGAATGCATAGAAATATAAGAGAAAAGATGTAGGGAAAATGGCAGGATATTTGATACACTCTAGACTGAACATATCGAAAAAGATTATTTACAATAGATTGGTACATCATAAATGCATATACATATAGTAAATAATATATAGTGAAAATGATAGCATATTTTATAATATTCGTAACAAGCATAATAATAAAAGTAAAAGGGCAGGCAGTTTAAGCTACAGGTTTGTATTGTATTGTAATAAAGAGAAGCGTAGAATAAAATTGTATCGAGTTTATATGCAATCCTTATTAGAATAAAGACTTTTCTGCTCGCGAAATGATAATAATCAGCTGATTAGTTAATTCTTCCGATTGAGTTCCAAAAGCGAAAACTTACGCCATAATCGTCGAAATAAAAATTCTAGTTTCCTCTCGACAGGGCTATTATGTTTTAGTCCACAGGTTTAAAGACAAGAAATTAAAAAGCTTCTTTTAAGTCAGAGCAATGCAACGTGGAGAAAGTGTAATAAAAAATTTAATGCGTTCCATATGAAATTCATAGCGAAGTGCTTCGTGTCACATATTTACGAGGAGTTGTTTGTCTTGGAAAGAAATCTTAAATGTTGCCTCAACAACTTCTCATATTACCCGTTTTGAAAACTATAATATTTATGAAATTTTAAAATTTTGAAAAAAACAATTTCAAGAAACTCATAGTCATAGTTATATTTGCGTATTCAAGACATCACTTGTAGGCGAACATGAGATACCGTTCCTCTTGCGCCATATAATAATTGAAACTTACTCGCCCGATTATTAAAATTCGGAGCCTATAACGACAAATCCTTGCTATTACTGTTACTGAGAGAGATGCATGAATTTTTCCTTTTCATTCATTTGAATTATAAACCAAATATATATTTAATGCAATAATGAAATCACTTAGTGATTTTAATACAAATGACTTGATTCGTTGGATGACGTACGAAAAAACAAAGGCTTTCTATTATATCTGAGAATGTTTTTTTTTTTTTGCTTACATTAGTTATAAATTTTTAATTTTATTTAATTTTGTTTTGTATTTTACAATTTTTTACACGAAAGAAGGAAAAAACACAAACAAAACAAATGCGTGTACAATCCGAAACAAGAAGAAATTTTTGTTAACAAAAATAAATTAATCTATATATGAACACTTTTTGGATCGATTTTGTTTTTTTTTTTTGTCAATCGATGATTATAAACATTAAATTAACTTTTATGCTGAAAGCATTTAATGCACAAATGCCCCAACCACACTGCATCATACAACCATTTTCCACGTCGTTTGCAATGAAATTGTTAGTACAGCGCTTAGCGAAACTCAAAAATAAAACAATTGTTAATAACTTATCGATAATGATCCCATTTGTCCAATACAACGACCTTCCTCATCGAACGTGGCCAATGTTAGGCGGGATAATTTATTGCATAGTACACCGTTACCATTATTTTGTATGGGATTCGGTTCTAAAATTGAAATAACAACAACAATAACAACACCTTAATACTTGTTCGATGAAATCGAAGATGAAATAAGTTAACAAAACAGTATAAAAACTGTACCATCATGAAATTGCTCTGTTGTACTGCCATCTTGTCTACGTTTCCGCACTTGATCAGCAAAATGTGATATTAAGGCATCGATCATTGCAGCTTGTCTTGAGAATACTTGCATCAATTTTGATGTTTGTATTCCATTCTCAACAGCATCGAACTGTAAACCGAAAAATTTTCTTTTTTAATAGTAAATGGATATGTAAATGGATATGAAATTGAAAGCAAACTAAAAGAACTGAAGATAAAACGAATCCTTAAACGCACCTTATCCGCTAAATAAATACAATCTTTAGCCATTAAACTGCATTTTCACGCTGCGGAAGCCTTTACTACTTGCATTCGATAAGCTATTGATTAATATATTAGTTAGAAAACGTATATCACCGCAAATTGTGCTTGCAGAAGAAGCCCTGGCATTAACCAGTTGGAAAAAAGTAGTACAAATCCTTACTCATAACACTTTTGCAATAATTGTTGTCCACACTGTTTGAACATGTTCTAGAATCCTGCACTGTATCTATCCTATAAATTCTTTCATCAAAAGTGACGATTTCTGCTGTTAAAACGTATTGATTGATCAAAAATTTTCAATATTCTTACGCTTTACGATGATTGTACGCGATCAAACTTCTATTTTATCAAAAAAATAATAAAACAATCATATCGCCTCCCTCTCTAGGTTTAGTATAAATAAATCAGGCGATCTGGCCCATTAAGAACATATGAACTCAAAAGGTCTAAGACCATTGACAGTTTTAGACCTTTTACCGTAATTGTAAGTCATAGCAGTATCATAGAGATGCTGGTACGACCTGCAGTAATATTTCTTAACAATAAAAGTCTCCAAAGTCTTGTTAGCTTTGTTGCACAGCTGCGAGGTTGTTTAAGGTGAAAAAAGCGGGAAAATATAAAACTGATTACTCTCTCCCTTCGAAAAGCACCAGCACTATTTTTTTGATATTGAACTAATCAAATAAAAAACTGAGTAAAACGGATTTTTCTTCAACATCCTTCGTTCTGTTTCTTATTTGACAACTTGACGACAACTAATGGTCTTTCTGTACCCTACACTTTTTATAATACAGTGCAGTACAGTACAATTTAAGTTGTGCGAATGTGTATGTAGCATCCAGAAAGATTTACAATAAATCTATAATTTACTAAACTAATCGATTCGGAGCTAGTTTCTGCATTGCTTTAAGCTCGTTTATCCGTTCGATGTATATTAATGCGTTTTTGCGTTTAATCTACAGCTCGTAATATCTCAGATATGGGCGAAATTTGCTACACTGATCATACTTACTGAAAAGAAGAAAACTAGATCGGACGGATGATTTATTAAACCGACCGATCCAGAATAATTTTGTGAATCTAGTTTAGCTTGTATGTTAGTCCGACGTTTATTAATCTCTTTTTGTGTTTAATCTACGCGACGTAATATTTGAGATATGGGCGAAATTTGTTACACTGACCATGCTTACTGAAAAGAAGAAGACTAGATCGGACTTTGAAAAAGTCATCATATCTAAAACATATGAAATTTTCAGTGCTTTTCGATGAATATCGTCGAGTAGTCGTATTTTAGCATAATGTAGTCCGAAAAATGGCGATCGGATGGGAAAATTTTCTAACGAATCTCCCATACGAACATACGTCTTTATAAGACAACACAATTTAAAACATTTCATATGGGAAATTCGCCTATAAAAGCAAGTAGAGGTACAAACTACACCAATAGTACGTCTATTTTTAGAGCCCTGTCCCATATAAAACTTTTCCTGAAATGTAAGTGTTTTAGTAACCTACGATTGAAGTAAGTGAAGCAAAGTAGGATCTATGACAAGAAAATTAATTGTGGCAATGGAATCATTTTTCGGATACCTTCTTTTACAAACTGTATGTAGGAACAAGATCTAATTTCTAGTATAGTATTATAAGGACAATTACTTGAACTATGTAAATGTAATGCATTAAGTTGGATCTCATAAGGTCCCTTAATAAACACATACATTTCGGGAATACATAAAGACTTCTATGAAAAGTAAGCCTTTATGTTATAAGATATAATTTATGGTATTTCTTGACCATAGCGGGACCCCCAGGGAGCTCATGTTACGAATACCATGCTATTGCTGTAAAAAGTAAATCTTTCTGTTACAATCGAATACAATTCATGATATCTGCGGAAAAAAAGTAGTGAAGAATGGTATTAGGCGAAGTTGTACGAGGTATTTAACGTTCGATCTTTCCAAGTTGTTTTGTTATTACATTTCAAAGTTTTTACAAGATTTTGTATATCCTTGAATTCAATCTGAAAACCTAAGATAAAAACCAAGCACAAAGCACACAGTGGAAAATTCAGTGGAATGAATAGTTTGCCCAAAATTTGCTGAAAAATTAAAAAAAAAATTTTTTTCTTTCAAAAATTATAGCTGATCTGAACTATAATAGAAGTAAGAATTTAGAAAACATAAAACATTTGTGGCAAAAAAACACTAGACAAATCAGACAAAGTCTTAAGCACTATTTTAAGCGCTTCCTAATTGAATATCGAATTTTTACAGTGTTTTCAGTTCGCTCTAACTTGATAAAAGCCCACTTACAATAATAGCTTTTACATCGAAATATGACCAAACGAAATGATAAAAACAAAGATATTTTCCATTACTGAGAGGATAAAATATACAAATGAAAAATGAAAAACACAAGGCTCACCTGTATAAATATACATGTTAAACATTCTGGATCATCCGTAGCACTTGGCTTTGCAAAATCCCACGACAAATCCTCGTAGCGTAGTCCAAGTAGCAAGGTCTGAAAGCAAATTGAAAAAAATTCAGCTAAATAAAATTCGTATAATTTATCAACACTTATGTGTTAAATTTTGAAGGAAAACGACATTTAAAGCAACATCGTGCGTTTTTAATGATACCGTCTTTAAACTTCCTCAATTTTTCATAACTTTGTAAAGCTGACAAATGGAAAGCGAAGAAAAAGTCTTGCGAAAACGATCTCAAATTGAACATACATAAGTACATAAAAAAATATCGCAGCAGCATTAATCTTCTATATATTAAACCTTAAGTGAAGTAGCAAATATTTACTTACTAAACATCATTGGCTAATACTATATTAGCCAATATACATAAATGAAAATATAACTCAAAGCAAAAAAAAATTAAGAAATACAATTAAGCAAAGACGCAGATGCTTTCCCAACCTTAATCCCATCGTTAATGTATGCAATTAGCCCAATAACAGTACATAAGTATATATGCAGGCAGGCAACTGGCAATCTGCATCCATAGAAATTTCCTTTTAAAAAAAATTCCTTTAACAGAAAATGACACGTGCCGTTAAAAACTCGTTCAAGCCAAGTTAAGGCCGGCGAAAAAAGCTACCAATTTGGTTGGCACTGAGGGAGCCTAAGGGCAAGTTGGAGCGCTGAGCAAAAATGAGGAACTAACGTCTCCTTTTTATCAGCTTAAACCCAAAGGCCCTTCCTAACAAGTGCTTTCTTTTCTCAAGCGCCGAAGATATTTATATTATGACGATTTAAACAGAATCAGAACTTGCAAATTTCCACACAATCATCATTATAAAGCAACAATGTTTAACTTAAGCAGTTAAGCCTTGCAAAAAATTTCTAAATGTAAGGATTAATATTTTTCGTCCACAAGTAAGCAATAAATTTTTTTTTTGTTTACCGCTACAAAGCATGCAACAAATAGTATGAAGCACGATGAAGCACACGGTGATAAATTATAAAAAGTATATAAACCTTAACTCGTAAATTTAAACAGCAGCCAATTTTCATTTAACATATTGTATATGTTTATATATATATTTTTTTCAACTTACACATTCAATTGGATCAATAATAAAAACCCCGCGCTCATTTACAGCCACTAAAACTCTAACATCCTTATGGTTAACCATACTCATTAAACCACGTACCGGTTGCTCAACTTGGCCATGAAAAAACGCAGCACTGCAAAATATTATAACATAATAGCTGTGGCACAAATTGTAGAATCCAAACAAGACGTACCCATAGAAAGGAAGAGCCCAACAAAATTCTAAATATTTACGCATTAATTTACGCGTTGTTGCTGTTTGTGGCACACGTTTAAATTGTTCTAGTAATTTAACTTCGGCCGAATTTTTACGGCTCACTGGAAGCCAAGACCAATTAGAATTTTTGGCAACATGTTGAGGCAAAAATCGCGATTGATTTTCTCTGAAAAGGAATTTGAAAACACTGTTAAATACTTTTTCCTATAATGAGTCGAATTTGATCATGGTACCGAAAAAAGGTTATGGTGTGCGTATGAGTATTGAATGGACCCAATTCAATGCGTGCTTGTATGCCACCCAACATTAAAGAATGAACTGATTCCATTATATATCTCCCTGTTAATACATTGTGCTTCGCTTCTTCATATAAAAGTTCTAATATTCGATGATCTCTGCGGAATTTCAAAAATATATTGTCAGAGTTGAAATTAAAAATCTTTAGGTGAAGATTAATCACTGCTTCATACTTGATTTTTTCCTCATCTTTTTTTGAAAAAAATACGTTTCGTTTCAGCATTATCATTGGTTCGTCAAACTTCTTCTCAATTGGATTGCCATGACTGAACTTTTCGAGAAGATTTGACCAGGCTAAACGTACTAAGAATGGTCGATGATGTGACTTAAGTTGTATGTCCAAGAGTGCGCTTGTCATCCACAATCCGAATATACTTTGCGCCAACAATTTGTTGGCTATACCTAGTTCTTCACAGCCCAAAGCAGCTGCCAACATCACCTGAGACGGACACTGAGCCGTTCCCTCGATCTCCATATGTACCGCAACACGTGACATTAAATACACGCAAGTTGGTATCACCTGCAGAAAGCAAAAGCAATAAATTTAGAAATTTTTCAGGTCAGAAATAATTTCATGTATCATACATCTTGCAAAGGCCTCGGCATTGAATTTGTTGTTGTTTTTGTGCCATTTGTGCAGTTAACATTTGACGATGACGCTGTATTCATGTATTGATTATTATTTGCCGTTCGCGCTGAATCCGAGACTTTTGTTTGGCTATTTGAATAATTTACAGTCGTTATGGGAGCTATAGAAAGCAGAAGGAAATCAAAATGTTAGTTAAATTCCTAGTGTGCGGCAAAAATTTAAGCACTTGCCAGGTGAAGTACAAAGATTGGAAGCTGGTACATTTCCACCTACAACATTTATGCTATTGCTATTGCCATCCGCTCCAAGAATACCCGTAACGCAAGCGGCACTGTCATTGGTAGCAAAACATTCGGCATTAGGTGGCGCTGACCCCGGACTTGATACATTTTCCACATTATCAGCTTCATTCTGCACCGCACTTACCATGCTTGAGATACTTGATGATGAAGCGAAAGTATTACCGGCAGCTGTTTGAATTTGCGCTGTAGTTACGACTCGGTGTACGGTGTACATGATGGGTGGCACGGTCGCTGTATGCACGGAACCCAAAGGCAGAGAGGCTGATGCCATGAACTGTTCACAATTACCAGTTGTTGGTTGCGTTTGCGTGGCCGCCATCATTCGACTACTAGGTGCACCCAACGCCGGGCAGTTAAGAGCCTCCTCTACTGGATCCAGCGCAACAGACGAACCACAGGTATTCTGATGGTGATGGTGATGAGTATGATGATTGTGCTGTTGTTGCAGGTTTTGATGTTGATGCTGCTGATGCTGTTGATGCTGTTGATGCTGATGATGTTGTTGTTGCTGTTGTTGTACGTTACTTAACGAGCTTGGATAATGTAGCTGCTGCTGCTGCTGCTGCTGTTGAGCAAAGTGATATTGCTGTGATGGCACTTGCTGACTTATTTGCTGATGATGGTGGTGATGTTGTGGGTGCGATGGCTGCTGTTGTTGCTGCTGATGCTGCTGATGCTGAATTTGTGGATGACTTGGATGTTGATGATGTTGCTGATTGTTATGTTGACTTTGCAATTGCAATGATGGTGACGGTGAAGCTGTGTTCACCCGCCCGCTTGCACCGTTCGAATAAAACTCGTCCCTACATCTATAATCCGCGGTATTGTAATACAAACGAGATCTGTATTCAAAATTAGATAAAAACAGGTTTTCATAATACATTAGCAAATGCAAAAAATGCACACTCACTGATATTCTTGTGGCGTTAGTTTTCTACGATTATATTGTAATGTACCCATTGGAACAGGCATTACGTTAATATAATTGCCCGGACTGTTACTGTTACCGCCACAATAAGCACCAGTATTAGAGGTTCCAGCCGTTGTCGGCGATCCTGACATGGTCGATGGGGCCGCATTAATTGCGCCAGACCGTTGATGAAGTGGAGTCTTATTATTACTGTTAATACCTCGCGCCAGCAACTCTTTACAATTGAAACCGGTCGAGGAGTGTACCGAATCGCAAGCCATGTAATCTGGCATTGCATTAGTGCCACAACCATTTGTTGCCGATGTTGTTGTCGCTGCCGGCTGAGCGGACGTTGATGATGATATTGCTGCTGGTGTAGCATTGCGACAAAGGTACTTATTCGGATCCATTGCCTACAAACTAGATCCTAATATTGCTCAAACGATCACCCTCCATAAACATTATTTAAAAAAGCGACGTCGGCCTAATGTCAACGTCTGCTCAGATGTTGTTCTCTTTGATTGTTCCTATCCATAGTTTTACTTTCGTTTCTACGTTGTTGTTGTTGCTGATGATAACGGATGATAAATGCGTTCGTTTTATTTAAATCAATTCAAGCGCAGTTCAAGATGACATTGACATACCGACAGATTTCTGTGCTTTACACTGATAGGTATTTTTTCATAAGAAAATGAAACCAATACGCATGCATATATATATACATATATATCTATACAAATATATATATGTAGATGTATATATCTATATTCTTTTTTTTAAATTATTGTTTAATTTTCTTTTCTACACGTCTTTGCAATTAAATATCATTAACTTGCATACGCTTCACGAAAATTTCGCACATATATGAATTAATCGAGATTTTGGCTTCACGCTGTGATATTAATGCAAATGCTCTTGTGATATTTATCTTCATTTATACATTTCACATGTGTTTGGATTGCTGTCGCTGTTCACTAGATTAATTTGTTAACAATATTCACTTCACCTTCGACGTTTCATTGTGGCAGTATTCAGAGAACACAGTTGATTTTGTAACTAAAAGTATTTGAAACGAAAAGGAAGTTTTTAACTTCTAATCAAACAGAATAACACTGAAACAGAACGTGAATAAAATATACGATCTTACGATCCCTAGCTAGAAACACAATCTTTAGACAATATGGCGCCTAAAGTTGACTTAAACTTGGCCTTCTATAAATGTTATAGAACATAAAACAGCTAAGCATCGCATTGCAGAAGACGTTAAATGAAAAGAAGAGAAAGGAGAGAAAATGACGAAAAGTGGAATATTTATAAGTAGAATAATTGAAATGGATTAAATTTACAGCGCTTTGAGTAAAGGAAAACAGCGAAATGAATAACGAAAATTCGAGGTATTCAGCTGAGGAAAATGTAAACTATTTACACTAATCTATGGCATTCTTTTGAGCCGTTATATGCATGTGTATTACATTCAGGCAAATTAATGTATTACGCTGTTACATAGAGTATTAGAAATGTCTAGGCTTCCTTTAGACATCAAAAAGTACGGCTTGGTAAACACATAATACACTTTATAAAAAAAAAAAAGCAGACCCTTACTCCAATTTATTCGTTAAATAGCTGGAAATGCGAATCAAAAACAAATAGATAAAAATGACTTAGTTTCTGAGTCTACGTTCTATAACAAAACTGATCCAAGATGTCTTTCATTACATCCCTAAAAGATATTCCCTAGAGATAACGCCTAATAAAGCTTTCTAATAAAAACCACAAATACTTACTTCAATTTGCTAATTAATAGCATAAAAATTTAATCGATTCCGAATAAATAAAGATCCTAACTTCACGATGATTTCAGTGATTCCAAGAAGTCTTCAATAAAATCAAAAGTAGATATTATTAGGAGAAGCTGCCTAATAAAACTGCGCAACGAAGGCAAAAAACTTTCACTTCAACTCGTTGATAAATCGACATAAAAATTAAAAATAATAATGATAATAATAAATACACAAGAATCCGAACTTAGCTTCTAAGTATAAATCTAATCTTTTCACAGCCAATTGTGATCCTACAAATGTAGGGAAATGCATCAGAAAACATTTAAACTACAACAGTTAAAGTAGTTAGAGCAGTCAAAAGATATACGACGAGATATGCTAAAGTTATTTGCAGTAATTAATGTTTACATGTTCTCTTAATTACGCAAAGTATTAATAGTAAAATGTTAATAGAAGTAGAGAAGATATGAACAAATAATGCAAAGCAAGTAGTCCTAGTAGTGGTGAAGGAAGACTGCCTTTGATTAATTAATTTCAAAATCTAATATTTAATAAATTAAACTTAAATTACAAATGAATTAAAATCTAAGCCTTCTTAAGTTAATGAATGAAAATTTGAAGGGACACTTTAGTAATTTAGAATAAAAAAAAACAAAGGTTTTTAAAAGGCAAGTCTCTACCTCTCTGCAATGGCCTGTTCGCCTCTTGACTCAATCAATCTTAATTGAATATTCCAAATCAAATCAATGTTCATGTTGAAAATGTTTCAAATCGGCATTCTTATAAGATTCGCTTCACCACGTCTATTAACGCGAATTACGACCGAAAAAGGAAAATGTGAAAGTATTCAGAATTTGTTGGCAAAAAAGGGCAAAGCAAAAGATAAGGGCCTCTTTAGGGGAAAGAAGGAAGGAAAAGATAATACTTTTCTTCAATTTAATTTTTTGAAATATTGAAAACGTTTTCTCTATTGTACCCTCCACTGTAAACTATATATATTCTTCATCGGTGTGAAATCCTGAGTTGATTTAGCCATATCTGTACGTCTGTGTGTCTCTGTGATGTATGTTGTCGACACACTCCTGGTCGCAAAAATGAAGATAGCGTGAAATTCTGAATTGATTTAGCCATGCCTGTCCGCCTATGTGTCTGTGTGCCTATATTTTGTTAGCACTATCTTGGTCGCAAAAATGAGGATATCAACTTCAAATTTGGTAGAAACATTAGAAGTTTCTGCACGCAGGTTGGTATCGCAAATGGACCAAATTGGTCAGAGCAGAAGTGCACACTGGAGCTTAAACTGAACGCAACCCTGTTTTTTCTAACAAAAATTTATGGATTTTTGCTCGTTACTCGGAAATCGTTGAAGTTAGAAGGCTGAAACTTTCCACAATTACTTTACGAGACACTCTACTCTCTAGGTCCAGAAGTGGAAACAAGTAATAAAATGTTTTTTTTTCATATTTTTGAGTTTTTATCCCTATTTATCATAAGGTAAACAAGACAAACGTTTAAAACTATTTTGCCCATTCTTCAAATTGGGATATATTATCTTTCTAAAAACAGGTTAATTTTAAAATGATTATGGTAGACACCGCGATTAATTTTTTCGATATGGGTATCAAATAAAAGAACTTGGAAAGTAGAATGCGAAAAGCATAATGGTGGCTATGCAAAATTTTTTCATTCTTAATTAATTCCTTTTTTGAATAAAGTGTAAGGTCCTCGCATAAACGAGAAAGAAGAGAGGGAAGCGAGGAGAAGCAAAAATTATAATCACCCCAAACACTCTTTTATTACTTTCGAGTATGCTAATGAAACAATCAGAATGACTTTGCCGCTACATCTCCAGTTTTTTTTTTTTTTAATTTACTAAATGTTCAAGTTTTATATCAATATTTGCTGTATATATATATATATAGATATATACAAATATAAATTATGAATTTCAAGAAGCAAAGAATCTCGACTAAAAGCGATATGGTCGTGAATTCAAATCTCAAGCACGTTGGAGTTTTCAATAAAGCCGATAGCCTTGTGCCGATGCCAGTGCTTTAAGATTTTTGTCAAAAAATTTAATAATAACATTTACATACGCAATAAATCAGCTCATAACCTCTCAATTATCAAGGATATACGCAACAAAACAAACAACAGAGCCAAAAGAACCGTACTCCACGAGCTTGCTTAGGTGCGAAATTAATTTGATCCAAAATTGTTCACATACAAACAGAGAGAGAGAGAGAGAGAGAAAGAGATAGAGAGAAAGAGAAAGAGAGAGAGAGAGAGAAATAAGTAAGTTGACAGCGTATTGCACTTAAGTGTCGGGCACATACGATTCTTTCTGCGCCATATGCCACTTTTACATTCACTTTTTACAATTTCTCGCAGAATTTTCATTCACATCAAATCTACAGGTGTTGAATCTTAATTAAATTTGTCAATAATCATTCCAAGAATTTAATGAAGAATGCTTAGAATGCAATGCTTTCTGGATATATGTAAAAATATAATAATGATTTCTACAGAGTTCGTTACATTTTCCCTAAGAGGAATCGCATTGATTTTAAAATAATATTAAATTCACGATAACGAATATGTGTGCGATGCATGCAAACATATTTTTGGTAAACGAATTTTATATCAAACAAGTCAAATAAACCGAAGAAGAAGCACAACAAGCGATAACGTTAGTTATTATACAAATACAGGAATATATTATGCATTATGTATGCATGCATACGTTGCCAAAGATTATTTTATTTTTCTTCTTCCTTTTTTATAAAAAAAAAAAAATTAGTTTTTAAAGTTTTTTAACTTATTACGAGTTACAGTTCATGCATATATTTTATCGGTTCTTTTCAATGTTTTTGCAAAAAATTTTTTGTTTTTGTTTATATATATTTTGGTATTTCTTGTTGTTGTTATTTTTTTTTTTTTTTTGTTTGTTGTTCCTTTTCTTTTAACGAACATAAATTCACGCACTTGTAATAACTTTCTGAATACATACACAAACACCTAGGTGTGTATGTGTGTATAGTTAAAAAGCAATCCGTTCACTTACACGCATACGTACAAACATACGCATGCATTTACTTAGTATTCGGTTAACAATTTTCTCTGCATATCGTTGCGATTGCTGCTACTGCGGCTGCTGCTGCTTTTGCGATATGATGGCAATGATGATAATGATAATGTTAATGATGTTGATGATAATGAAGATGATGCATGGTTAGCAACGAAGAAAAAACTCAGTTATTTTACTTTTTTAAAACATAAATGCTTTAGCTTGCATGTATAAGTAAGTAAACTTGTGTTTGCTTATATATCTATATAAGTATGTTAAAAATATATGCCAACCAAACCAAAGCACTCAATTTACATCATTTATCATTATATCCTTAATTATTTCGATGGAACAATGAATTCGCAAAAAAAAAAACTTAATAAATAGTCAGTTGAAGCTATATATTCGCGTGATTTAATCAAAACAAAAAAAGGTCTTTTTAGTTCGTGGTTTTCATTAAAGCGCTTTGTCATTCAATCTTTTAAGGATAAATTTATCTTCGCCAAAACATTGCAATCAATACATATAAATATCTATGCATATATACATACATACATGCATATATACATATTTATATATATATATATATATATATATATTAAAGGATAAGATCTTACGACGCATAACATATGAGTTTGTGAGAAAATTCACTGAGTCCTTTCATTAGATTGGGTGGGACAACGACAGCTTAATATTTCTTATTTCAGCAGATAATTCTCTTTATTTTTCTTTTGATTTTCTTTTTTTTGTTTTCTTAACATTAACTTCAACGCCTTTTCTTAGTCACATCCTTTTTCTTTATCAACATCGAAAAAAAGAAAACTTTTCTATGCATCCTTAAAGCCATTCGTTTAGTTAATTTTTCACATCAACAATTTA